CAATGTTGATACGTTGTTATAGAGGAAAAGGTTCGAGACGAAAACAATCCTTTAGCTTCATCGCGAAGTAACGCCTTTTGAGTCGACTTTGCAAGGTGTCTGGCAAGTGATCGAGTGGACTCGTGGCGACTTGTCTTCAATAGAAGGGGGACAAGAACCGCCTTTCGTATCGACATACACCTTCATTCATGTCAACATTTAGGTGTGTCGTCTCATCAGGTCGACTAAGTTGTCGCCCCTAATTATCTCTAGCCACCAAGTAGATTAGGGCTTAACGTGTAGAAGTACACTTGTCCACTACTTGGTATTGAATTACATTTTGGCGAAAATGGGAACACCATAACAAATAGTAATATATATCCACCATTACTCTACCAAAGAAGAAATTTTCAAAATAGACACAATCTAAACTTTATTCCAAAAATCATTCCATTCTATACTTTATTATAGAAATTGACCCAATTTCTGGCCACGTCAGCATCGTGGCCAGAAATTGGGTCGTTTTAAAAAAGTATCGAATTTCTAGTTAGTCAGGGTTGCTAACCCCAACTAATTAGGAGCACCTCTACCAAATCCTTAGAAGCTTGGCTAATCATGCTCGTGATTAGCAGAGCTAAAAAAGTCAGGGTTGCGAACCTTGACCATTTTGGTCGGGGTTTGCAACCCCGTTCTGGTCAGGGTTTGCAATCATGTTCATTTGACAAAAACTTCCACCCTATTACCCACCTTGTGGATAGAAATGGTCGAGGTTCCCAAACCCGACTATTTGGTAGAGACTTTCCATCATACAAACTTGCTGGAAAATCTCCTCTCCTACTAACATATATTAATCCTCGACTAAAATTGCCAGGTTTAACACAAGCTCTCTTGCTACACGTATATCAATCCATAATCAATTTTAATCACAAATAAACATATATCTTTATATTTATATTACATATATAACCAATTTCGAACAAAAACATAACATGTAATTCACTTACTAAAAATCTAATCATAAACATATAGTCCAACTAGCATTTCAAACGTAAACAACATAAAACAAGAAATATTGAAATTTAGCAAATATTTAGAATTCCCTTTCCTCTCGCTCTCCCTCTTCCTATTCTTCCTCTCCCCCTTCCCCGTTCGCCTTCAACATGAGCTTGGATGATCTCATCATTAAGTTGTGTGTGAATTTGTGAGCGCATGACATCCTCATCGACTTGAACTTGCTGTGAACATTTGGCTTGAGCCTCCTATGAACATCCAGCATCATCATGTGCAAGACTTGAGCCCGCCCTGCCGTGTCCTCAAACTCGTCGATGCTCGTACCCTATGCGTTGTTCTTGACGTCCATCACGATTTGCATGACGTGTCTTTCTAAGATCGGACCGAATCTTTCTTATGATGCGAACAAATCCGTTCCTCACCCTTCAGCTCGGTAGTCAATCTTAATGCATCATGTGCAATACATTGAGTTCTTGTACCTATATGATAAAAAGGGGAAGAAGATTATTAGCAATTGGTTTATAATAAAATAATAATCATAAAATTATTGTATATTTTGCCTATCTACCTACCAACTCTCTCCTAACTGGACCTCTCGGTATGTACTCCTTAGATGCTTTGTTCTCCTGAAATATCCATCGGTGAGTAATCCCCAAATGCCAACGTAAGTACACATCTTCTGGTGCATCAACTCTCTCCATCACTATAATATCCTCCCTCAACTCCCAATTCTCAATGTGAGCTTGATGAATTTTCTTCCAATTTTGATGATGTGCTCCTTTTCGGGAATTTCGCTCTATTCTTTCTACAGGATCTGGAATATGTTGTTTTAATTCAAATTGTCGAAGCACATGATCAGGCATGCGCATTTCAACAATCTCGAAGCATATAATCAGTACTCGAGCATGTCATGTATCTTCACCATCTCTGCAAATATCTCATAGTGAAGCTAAAAGCAGTTCATAGGGTATCCGCTTGACCTATAAAGAAAATTACAAAAATTTACATATCAGTAACATATGATATATTGCCTGAATATAGTTAGATATTATGATTTTATACATGTTCGTCCTCCATTTAATCAAGTTCGATCCTATAAAAGTTTTCATGACCCTTTGGGAAGGTTTGCTAATATCTGGAAACATTCCATCTATTTGATATATAAAGGTTTAGTATAGATTGAAATAAATATATAAAATTATATGTAATCATAAATATTAAAAACTAATATACTTGCATCCTAATGGAACTTGACCATCAAGAACCTGGGTCTCCCTTAAATTTGGTGTTCCCAAATGTCATCGCTCCCATGACTATATTTGCAACAAAGTGATGCAACCTTTAAATTTTTTATTTTGCACGAATGACACTTTTGTCATCTCCTTATAGAGATAAGTTAACACTGCACTTCCCCAAGATAATTCTCTAAACTCCTCAAAATCCTCACGAAGTGGCAACCATCTAACATGCACTGAATTCTTAGTTGAATCTGGAAATAGAATGGCACCGATCATATAGAGTATATACGCACGGGCATGTCTTGACGATCTCTTCAGTAGCATCGATTAGTACATTCATGTAATTATTTCGTAACCACTTGAGATTGATCTTACTACTCTTCATATTAGGAGCTTGATCCAGTAATCATTATCACACTCCTCTCCTGTTTAAGTCATTGGTACACGTAACAGCATCTCCATCCACTTTGAGGCCAAGTAAAATCCCTACATCATGCAGAGTAATAGTTGACTCTCCTTGATGCATTTGGAATGTATTTGTCTCAGGCTTTCATCGTTCAATCAATATCGTCAAAAGAGGTCAATCGAGTCTTACCCATTTTATTTGTGAATATTGAAAAAAAAACCTGCTTGATGGACATAATATTGGACCTGTGGATCTGTCAAATCCCAACTCGAATGTGCACGAATATGATCAACAATAGTATTACACAGGGCCTGCATATATTAAACAGTTTAAATGATTATGTAACAACAATAAGATTGAAAATTTAAAATGATTGAAAATAAAAAAAATTACCTCTCCAGAGAGTATGCATTGACTTACAAATTATATAGAATAAAATTAAACAATTCTACCATTAGTTGCGACTTGCTCAAATTAAACATAATGCTCATATGATGATCGTTTGAGATCTTAACCGCGGATGTTCTATAAAAAGATATGGGCCAATTGCATATTAGTTTTAGTCGGTACTCTTGTGGATCAACTTTCGTAACTCGGTGTAATTCCTTAATCAAGTCATAGTAACTACATGATTCCGAGATCATTAACGGGGTTGTTACTCCTCCAACGTACTTTAGCATATTATTCATTCCATAATTAATTTTCCCACCTTATGAACAAGCAATAAAAACCATATTGTTCAACCTATAAAAAAAATTAGATTATATCATTTAAATGCAAAAAAATTTTAAAAACTTATCAGGCCATTGAATAAGAGAGGAAAACCTAGATGCAAACAATCTCATAATCGTATAACTATAATTTTGATGAAAACCCCTAAATAAATAAATGAAAACCCTAAACCCCAAAATGAGCATTCTATGCCCTAGAACTTTAATTTCAATTAAAGCAATTCCACACAAAGACTGATAATCACCAGAAAGATATGTAATTGATATTATATTTCAAACCCTAGAAATTGGATTTTGATGAAAACTCTAGATTTGAATGTTAAAGAAGAGAGAAATATCCTAGATTTTTAAATGTTAAAAGAGGAGAGAGAGAAGAGAATTTACCCTAGAGATCTTTAGCAAATTTCCTTGTTGAATTTTGGCCACAAAAATAGGTTTGGGAGACTTGGGTAGGCGGAGAAGAATGAGAGACCGAAGGTAGAAAAAGAAAGAATTGGTATTGTGAGGGGAGAGGGGATCGATTGGTATATATAATCGGGTAGGCCCCACCATAAATAGTGGGGGTTGAGAACCCCAACTATTTGGTCCCTTAGCCGATTCCACATCTTCGAGCGATGGGGAGATTGTGGGTCTGCCAAATGATCGGGGTTGGCAACCCCAACCATTTGGTGAGCATCTTCCAGTAGGGGAAGTTTTGGGGAATCGTCTACCAAACAATTGGGGTTGGCAAACTCACCAAGAATGAGAGGTGCTCCTAATTAGTAGGTTAGCAACCCCAACTAATTAGGAATTCAATTTTTTTAAACGATCCAATTTCGGGCCACGTGGCTGACGTGGCCAGAAAAGTGAGTCAATTTCTATAATAAAGTTCGGAATGAGTCGATTTTTGCAATAAGAGTTACGACTAGATCTATTTTGAAAATTTCTTCCTTCACCAAATTATCCGAACCTTAAAATATTATCTGTCATTATCCCACCATATTATCCTACTAAATTATACCACTTCAAAAATTATCCATCATTGCTCCACTAAATTATCCCAATATCAAAAAAAATTCTCACTTTACCAATAATTCCAGTTCTACTTGAAAAGTTCTAGTTGACCGTCCCCTAATAGAACTACTATGAATTTTAGAGATTTATACACAAAAACTGCCTCCCCTGATTTTGAATGAAATTGAAACTTTTGTATGGGTAATAAAAATTAATAAAAAATCCATTCATGGTACGCGTATAGAAAATTATGATAATAATCAGATAAATACACAAAATCCATCACCTGCCTATGCCAATATTTTAGTTCAAAAGTAAATTGCTATTAACATTAAGGACGTCAAGAATTGATATCCTCCGCTGGGACTGGAACCATTGCTACCGTTTTTAAATAAGAAATTTGCTTCACAGTTTACAGGAGCAAATCAAGACCCACGCGAGGAACACCATTCAAGATAGTACAAAAACAAAACATAGCAAGTGTGAAACGATCTTCGACCTGAAGCATGAACTGCAGTTATCCTAAAGCTTCAAATATTTACCTTTAGCTATTCCTGCATCTTTCCAAGAAAAAAATTGAAAAATATATCAAGGTCGAATGAGATGAAATTGTCAGCAAAACGTAAGTAAAATGCCAAACGCTATCGCCAAGAACACAATAATTTTCCTTTATGATTGGTAGCACAGAAAGCCTGCCTGCCAAAATCAAGCAATTCCATCAAAGTGTCAGGTTTACAAAATGGCTTCTTTATGATATTACTAGGCCAAAAAAAAAGCAAAGAAGAGCAAGACTTGAAGAAGATTTTGTATATCGTCAACAAGTTGTAGAAAAATGAAATGCTGAGATTCGCAGAATTCAGTGGTATGCTCTCTATAGGAACACATCTAGGAGAAAATTTCTCTACTCTTAGCCAGTCTGCAAACCGGTTATTTCCAAGCTTCTATGATTCAAAAGAAAATGTCCGTTGCCCGCTACGTAAAGGGAAGTTTCCTTCATGGAAGAACACTCCTTGTCTCCTTCCTATCTACGCCAAATACCTGTAGCAACAAAATAGGAGGGTTATAATTACACTACACCGGTGAGAAAACAAAATTATTTGGTGCCAATATGGGATGAAAAAAATGGCTGCTTTCTTGATCAACTGGATCCTAATGTTTGAGGATCCTGTAGCCTGCTCTCAAACTCTTTTGCAAAACAGGTATTTTCATAAGAAACTTTTAAAAAAGAGGAAGATATGCGAAATATGATAAATTGAAAGCACCAAAAAGAATTTCTAGTTCTCAGTTACCTCTACGCCGAATCCTTTGACATATACATTAGTGAATAGCTCTGCAGGCTCAGGCAAGGGGCTCTCCTGAAAAATGGGAAGGGGTACATTTGTGAGGCATATCCAACAAAATTTATACGAAAATGCACACAAATTGACTGCTGAATATATTAGTAAATCAGATGCAGTTAAGGAGACTACCTTGGCCTTAGCAACCGCATCATCTACTTCCTTCCTCACTTCTTTCTCAACATCCTATTCAAATTTTTAAAAAGGAAAAAGGAGGAAACCAAAGATTAAGAGAGAGGAAATATAAAGTGAATAGAATAAAGTACAAACATATCTGTTAAATTCTGCATTCAGTTTGTTAAGTACACAACTTAACAATTCCGCTTAATTCTGCATTAAGATTGTTAACACAACTTAACCAAATTCAAGAACCACAGTCTGCTAGTGAAGGTTCCAACTAGAATCACTACCTTGAGCTCCGCAGCAGTTGATAGATCATGGTCTAGTATCACTTTTCTAATTCTTTCAATCGGATCACGCTCCTACAAATATGACAGGCGCAAAGTGAATATCAAAAGAATGCGCACACTTCAGATTTGAGTTAGAAACAAACCCACCTGCCTCACACCACTGATCTCATCACGTGTGCGATAAGTGCTCCCAGGGTCAGACATAGAATGACCATGGTATCTGTAAGTATCCATTTCGAGGATCTGCAAATCACCATAACAATAATCATATGCAGCCCCACTGTCTCGTAATATATGCTTGAAAATTGGCACTAATAGCATATAGAAAAGGAGAAACAGCCAAAGTAGTCGTTATATCATGCGCAGAAAATACCTAACAAATAATTTTAAGACTAAGAAAGAAAAAGAAAATGTGTGTTTGTGTGTCATCTAGACAGCAATTTCATTGCTAGATAATATTTTACTGCTTGAGAGAATTAATGGGCAAAAGGTAGGTGTATGAACACAAGAATCAATCGTATGGCCATTGAGTCAACTTTCTTGCATGGAAGTGGCAACTTTTGTAAACTGAAGTGGCAATTACTGCTGAGCTTATTGATTTCTCTCTAGGTGATTACACTTACAAACTTTCATTATTAATCTGCCTTTAGATTTTCTGTAAGGTACTATAAAGTGCTCTGCCTGTTTACTTGCATTGCTCTTTTATGTTTACATATTTTACATAAAATGCATCCAAAAAGTAGATATCCCTGCTCAATGTCATGGAGTACTAATAATATGATAGTAACTAGTTTCTCTATGCTAAGTTTTAAGAACCTGGTCCACCAGAGTTGTTAGACTTGGGTAATTTAGGCATTGAAATGTTCATTTTGTGATAAGGATAAATATACCTGATTCTATTCCAGAGGGACTTAGCATCGTAGATCTCATTAAGAATCATAAGATTCTATTCAGTTTCAGATAAGGGCTGATTTTACTTAGATATTGTTAGGATAAAAATAAAGTTATTGATAGAATTGAGATTTTTAAGATTTGATTTGTTTAGAGATAAACATTTACATGTTTTTAGATAAGATTTAATTTGTTTAGAGATAAGATTTGATTAGTTTTCATATAAGATTTGTGTTATCTTCAACTCTCTATAGAAGAGAGGAACTTTTGTGTAATAGGGAGTGAATTTTAAATGAGAATTATTGATCAAAGAGATTTCTGGAGTGATTCCAATTGTGTTTTAAGCCTCCTGTGAACAGTATCGTGAACAGTATCGTGAACAGCAACCTCGTGAACAGTTCCGTAAACAGTATCGTGGACAGTGCTCGTGAACAGTGCCTATTTTCTCAACGTTGCAATCTCATTCACAGATTTGATCCCTGCAGAATTCCACAGTGACAGAAAATTACAAAACTCAGATCTAAGCCTTTATTCTCATTTAATTAGATTGCTTATATTGTGGTTAATTAGAATTATTACATCCTTGATCTTATATTAAACTAACCCTTTTATTTTGAAACCCTTTCGCAGGATCTAGCTAATAGGAATTCGACACCAACGTTGAGTTCCCAATTAGGATTTGTGGACTGTGCTCAACGTTTCATGCCTTAGATTTATCGCGAACGCATTCCTTATTTGCTGTAGTTTTTACACCATTTATTACTATTAGTTGTTAGTTCATATTGTTTGATATTTAAAGTTATTTTCCACTGTAATTTTAGTGTGAGTTTGCATTTATTCTGCATATTAGTTCGTTTAATCACTTTTCCTAGAGCTTGATAGATCGTGCTACGTCAGTTTGCAAGATGCATATTTAACAAAACCGACTGCTATTATGTTGCCTTATTCAAGAGTTTGGACCAATCCCACTTGCAACACTTCATGATTAATTGATCATTGAGATGAATCATCAATTTGTTTACCATAGAGCTTAAATTTTTCGCTTTCCCTATGCATCAACTCTTTGATTTCAAGTATATTTGCTAGTAATGTAAAGAATCAAGAATAGAGTACCAGACGGCACTCCAACAAGTAAGCAAGCCCATGATTTATTTTATATCACATAATAATCTAAATTAATTATTCTCCAAAGCAATACTACAAAAATAAGGTATCCTTACAGCAAATAAATTATATCAAATATTCCAGAAGTTATACAAACAATATTTCTCAAGGAAAAAAGATGACATAGTTGTCCATATTTGCGTGCAAGTTCAACAAAATATATAAGTTTTGGTGATAA